AAGGGTCATTTGAATGACTAAAAAGGTGTTGATTATGAAATATTTGGCAACATATCTCAATATATTCAATGCTTTATAATGACTTATCTATACTCAAAATTATGTTAAATAGCGTATTCTATTGCATTTTTGAAAAGATTTGGCAACATTTTCTCATTGTAACGTCAATATTCTGATGCTTAGATGATCATATTCCTTATATATATGGCATAGACATTATTTCGTATTCATTCATACTTTGAATATAGAGCCTTATAAAAGAAAATTGTACGAGGAAGTTGCAAATGTAAGACATGAATATCTGCCCCCAGGAAGGAATGACCGGAACTTTAAAGAAAAGCTTCTGCAGTTGGACTCTTTACTAATTGATCTATGATTGACCTATATATCCAATGCAATCATCTATTATTATAATAATAGGAGAAGAAAAAAAAAATGAGAGAATGGATTAGAAGAATGTATCCATTGTTCTTCTCTCGTGACAGACAAGTTGCTATTTCTAATGAAGAGGATACTCTTTGAGTGAATGAAATTAAATCTACGCTTCATGCATTTTGAATATTATGGAGGGATTTTATAAATATTTTTAATAAAAGTAACTCAAATACCTCTTTATCCACTGATGTGCTTTGTTTATAATCCAAATTGTTCTCATCTGAGAGCATATTGAAGGCACATTCAGCTATTTCATCAGTAAAGTCCATATCAATGACGGATACGGTAATGCCTTAATGATCAATTGAAACTTGTAAAAGTAATATTTTAACTAATTAGGCTACTTATAATGAATGAGATGGTTCTGGTTTCCGCTCTCATCAACTCTGGTAATTACCTCTCTCAGTGGCAGCTTTCTTATCAATGCTCTGACCATAAGCCGTAGCTTGAACAAAGTGATTAAGATGTCTGAACTTTCTTAACTCTTTTGCATCAAAGTATACACCACCAGGATTGGTGTATACAATAATCATGAGAGTGCTTTCATAGTCCTGAAGAAGAAATATTGAAAGAGAAAAAAACCAGGCTCTACCTCAACTGTGAGAGAAGACAGCCTTGCTAAGGGCTTAGGAACGATACGGATTCTCTCAGTTTTAAAAAGTATACTTGCATAGGTCTTGTGAGTATCTCTTTGCCAAGTCCAATCCTTATTAGTTGATTTAAGTGCACTGCTGAGTATATGTTCCTCAATGTAAGGATCAGCCTCTCCGAATACAAGAATATGGAATTCATTCTCTGATCGTTCTATCTCCTTAATATACTTTGGAACGGGACGCAGTTGATGAAGTGATTGCATAAGTTTTGCGAAATAAAATAAATCTTAACATTTTATATTTTCAGTTAACTCGAGGAACTATACTCACTAGGGAAGAAACAGTTTTTCCTGGTTAATCTGCTGACCAGATCCGAGAAAGCTGAAGAATATGATATGATTTTACTAAATGACATTTGGAAAAGTTAGTTTTCTCATGTTAAAGTTTCTAATATAATCTTTGAGAGATAAGAATCATAAGAATTGGAAAATTCTCACATTTGGCTTTCTTCCGCTCAGCAGTTTTGCTTTCTTTCGGAGGGAGCTGGATTCGAATTTGAGGATCAATCTAAGATAATCAAAATATATCTAATAATTTAATGTATTCTGATATTACTGATGGATCAGGTACAGGAACATCGCCTTCTTTCTTTTCACCCCCCAAAAAGTGTGCGGAGCATATCCGTAGCTGGAAACAGTGAGTCAATGAAATTTTTGTAAGTTGATTGATAAATTCAAACAGAAGAAAGGCTTACCTGAGAAACAACTGTTTCTTCTGTGCGTCCAATAGCTTGTAGCCAGCTTTGTCGAAGAACATGAGGTCTTTTGGGTATTCGATAGAAATGACGATTATCTTCTTGTCCACGGTATCGCGATCGAAACTTGCAGTTAGGAAATCCACATGTCGTCGGCATGGCATATCCTTTGGATTTGTTCCAAAAAGATTCTTACTGTTGTTTTTTCTAACTTCGTAGAAATGGAGCAATAGATATGGAACGGGTGTGTGACTTCCGAATAATCGTATGTATTATATATTATTTACAGGATGAACAGGAGAACTGAAAGGAACACAATGTCACATTAAATTAGTATTGAGTGATAATGGAATATAAGCCAACAAAAATATTTTTTTGTTCAAGCGCAATGAAACTCACTTCAAGCTTAGTAATAGAATGAACTCACATGTGACATCTATGTGATCAGAATAATCACATCGAATTCACATGAAATGAACGCAGTTTAAGTAATATCTGGAAATAAGCTCTTTAATTATATTAATTATAAGCTATTGAAAGAGAAGCATAGAGAGAGAGAGAGGGCGTTGTGAGGGGGGATGAGAGAGAAAGAGAAATTTCGACGAGAAAGCGGTTAAGCAACTATTATAATCTTCACAATATGATCTATCATGGAAACATGTATAGATATTGAAAATACAATTAGTGATACATTCTAAGTTCAAGCTAGTATTAGTTTTCAAGCAAAATTTTCAACATGAAATGGAAGCTGAGGAATGCTTTCAAATACCTGATTAATAGTAAAGGGCAGTAAGTCGAGATAGAAAGTCATATGATTCTAATTACATGAAGTTTGAGACATATTGGATTTGACAACAACTTAACCCAACTATAATTAAAATCATTTCTCAAAGCTGAACATAAGATTTCAAGTGAATTCTTAAAGTTAGTTGGAGCATTATAAGATATTCCGGAAGCTTTGAATGAAAAACACAGTCCTTGATTCTGAAGTGAGATGCAAAATGAATTCGAAGCTTTTCAGTTAGAGTCGTGTACATATATAAATGTTTTCTCTTATCTGCTATTGTGTAAACAGGTTCTTAAATAAAAAAAAAATGAATTTCTCAGAAAAAAAATTTTTTTCTTTACTCAAGCAACTCAAATTAGGTTCAGGATGGAAAAATATTCAAATTTCGATTTCTAATTAGAGAATTTTGTTGACTGAATATACCGCATAGGAAAATCACTAAATGAATATTGTATACGATGCAGATAGAAAGAAATCGATTCAGTTAAAAGGAAACTTCATATTACAGTAAGACAAATCTTTTTTTTCTTTATATTCTTCATACATTTCAGCAACAAAATAGAAGCTAACTCATGTCACTGGTTTTAAAGATACTAGAATCTCGAAACCCCACTTGTCTTGTCGTCAACTTTAACTTTACACCATTTTCATCTATCTTTGACCCTCAATTGAAACCCAATTTGCGACATCACCGCCTAACCCCTGGCAGCGGAACTGAAAGAATACGATGAGAGATTCGAGTTGTACAGAGAAACTTGCGAAAACACTAAAACTCCTCTCTAAGCTTCTTTTGTTGTCAACCAAAACCAAATTTTTTGAGTTTCCTGAGTGAAAACTCAAGTCAATAATGTCGTAGAAGATGATCAGCCAGAGGTTGAAGGTTAAGGCTTTGAAACGCCCGATAAAAATTAGAATAGAATAAGCAACGAAGCGACACGGGATATGTCAAAGCAATTTTCAGTTAATGCTATTGGTGTCTTCTGAAGAAAGAATAGAAATTGAAGAAGCTGGATAAAATTAAAAATATGTTTTTTCCATGTAAAAGCTTTTCTCTCTCTCTTTCTGAGAATACGGTAATACAAACAATATTTCTTTCTATACTGATCAACTAATCACTTTCGTCAAAAGTATTTTTCTATAAAATATGTAATAAGATCTGATATAACTAATTACTGCGTTTAAGCTTCTTCAAACGATTCTAATTTGATTGTTTTCTACAAAATTTTAAAATAGAATGAGACAAAATCCTCAATACAAGTCAATTATAATGTTGCGGAAGTTGTCACTAGACACAGTGAGAAATTGAAAAATCACTACTTTCATCTTGGCTTATGCAAAACCTGAAAAATTCAGAATCGTTCCCAATAAACAGAAAAAACCTTTGAAAATATCTCAAAAATAATATCAACCTCAAAAATCATTGAGAAAGACAAGCTGTATATATTCATATACGTGATAAGTTCATTACAGATGATTGAGTTAGTCAGAAGATGACAACTTTGTTTTAGAGCACCAAGTCGCTACTTTTTCACCATCTATGCTTGGTTCTCAAAAAATATTTCAGGAATAGATGAATCTCAACAAGTCGGTCATCTTACTCTAAATGTTTTGCACAAAGATATTCGGCTGCATTTTCATCTCGAATGGACCGGCATCCATAGCCTGCTTTTGACGCTAAGGGTTCAATGATATGTTTTTTAGTTCAACTTATCGGATTATGAGCTTTTAATCATTAGCGGAATCAATGAAAGTAGAACTTTAAATAGAATTTTCTTTCCCCAACGCCCACGAACTTACAAGTAGATTTTTTCGAAGACTGGGTAATCGTTTCTTCATCAGGTGTTTTTGAACATTTCAACAATGAAACACATCGAAGCCAATATCGCCACGAAAGCGAGATTTGTGCATATATGAACCGCCTGCGGCAAGTTTGAGTCAGTCTTGGCTCTGAGTGACACAACCAGATTAAATATCTAATAGCCAATCATACAGGACGCTTCTACTTCCAAAATAAAGAGATACAAAGATAATTACACAACAACTATCTATCACATGAACATAAACCAAGAATTCTACTTTCTGAACAATTTTTGATCTAAAATGATCTGTTTACACAAGGTATTCATGATGGTAAAGATTAATAGTATAGTAAGTCTTGCAAGTGATGAGTCATGTGCTATCGATTGTAGAAGTTGATCAGAAAGATGTAGTTTGGATTCAAAATGGTCTAATTATAAATTTATCAGTTGAATAAATAAATAAATACAACGAAGGTGATAGTAATGTACATTTGAAATAAAAAGAATAAATAAAATAAATATAGTGATGTTCGAAAATGAGGTTATAACGATGATGATGGTTGTTGTCAATGAGTACTGATAAGCGGAAAAAGCTCTATGAATGTTAACTGCTGTTGAAGCTTGAAAGCCTGCTACCAGTTCTTTCCTTTCGTTGAACAACTAGCTTCCCAGAACGAAGAAAGCTCAAGAGCAGCCTGCAACAATTCGATATTAACAGAAGGAATGGATTTTTAAAAATGTATTTGTTGTTGATTAATTTACCTGATTAATAGAAGGCATTAAAAGAAGAGGCTCTTTCAACCACAGTTTTTCCTTCTTAATTTTAGTTCGAACATCTTCTAAACGAACTCTTTTACCATTGATCGTACAGGTTTTTTTTGGTCGTGGTCTGAAAATAATGAGAGAGTAGGCTCATTCGAACTGAAATCAATTACCTGTAACGATAATCGGGATGCTGTTCCATGTGTAACTTGCTTAACCGGGATTGCTCTTCATAGAAAGGTTGCTTCTCCTGATTACTCATCCCTTTCCAACGAGAACCTAAATTTTTCTGGTCAAATATCGAAATTAACAGCCTCACCAAGAATTTTGCTGATGCTACTGTTATGCATATCGGGACAGGATTTTAAAATTCGACGGCGTTCATCGCGAGCCCAAACCATGAAAGCGTTCATTGGTCGTTTTATGTGCACATTTGGTTTTTCATTCTTGATGACGGTAGACCTCACAACTGGATCCTGTGACTGATTGGAACAATCATTTGGTTTAAGATCTTTATCTGATTGTTCATGATTTTCCAATTCTTCTTTTCTTAAGTTTTGATCTGAAGAAAATGAGAAGTTGCTCTGAAAGCAGTGAACTATAACCTTCACAGTTACGATTTGTAATTTTCCTGTTGATTGAGAGGTTTTCTGTTTTGATTCGATTTGAATTTGGCTCAGAGATAATATCTGGGGACGCCTTGAAAAAAGTGAACATGAAAGGAACTTTACTGCTTACAAACTCTAGACAGCGTTTCGCTTGAGTTTTTCTCAGCTTCACCCATCGCAGCAGCAGCCTTCAATTGATTTTGAACTGCTATCATCATCAAATGCTGAATTAAAGGTAAGTTTGGAGCTGGTGTCATTAGATTGTTGTTGAACAGATTATCATAAGCTAAAAAAACAATTTTCAAAATTTGAGATAGTATTAGGTCTCACCTGACTGTTTTAACGAATTCATGTAAGTTAAGTATTGATTGGAGCTCAAAATATTGTCGTTGAATCCAAAATCCAGCTTTTTATCGTTCTATGTACATACATTAATGAAAAATAACAGCTAACTCTACCTCTTTCAGCTGCTGGAGAGCTACATGATCCGGAAAATTTTCATTTTCGAAATGTGAAGAACAGTCGGAAGTTAAACGTTCACGAACGGAAACCAACTGAATAAATCATCATCATTTTAATAATTCAAAATGTTTCAATTGAAATCTTATAGAATTCTCAAAACAAGCATGCTATATATGAATGTTACCTGTTCTATAATGTTCTCAATAAGCCTTTTTTTGTTTTCCAAATTTCTACAACGACTTAAAACTTCTTTCCATGTTGTACCATCAATCAGTATTGTACAATCCAAATCCGTGTGAGCAACAATATCCGGATATTCATTTATAGATTTTGTCGTTGAAGTGCTGAACAGAGTAAGATTGTTATTGACAACCATATGACGTTCAGTTTCTTCCCTTCTTCTCTCTTCATCTCTTTATTTTTTTTTTTGTTTTGTAAATTATTTATAATTTGGTTCAAAATGATAATAATTAACTATTCAACAACAATAAATTATTTCTACAAATGATAAACGATCATATTCGATGTTGAAAATGAATATTAAACTTGTGCCATCTTATATTCTTAATCTATTGATATCATGATGAATGAGAAAGAATATAAGACAGCCTTCTATCATTTTTAAAATATATATTTTATTCCATATTAAAAGTATAAAAGATATTTTTTTTTTGAAAATATTTTTATATAAAGAACAAAACACGCCTTACTTTGTATTTTCAGATGCACGGCTACTTGTACTGTATACTGTACTCTGTGATGGTGAGACTGCCATTAGTTTAGGTGATAAATCAAGCTTCTAAAATATAATAATATGTGATGATGTATTCTTTTTAATTGTTTTTTTGATTGTCTACCTTTTCTAGAAGCCATGCTGATGTATTAGAATCAGCAGTTTCAAGCTGTTCCAGTGTTTGTTGCATCATTTCAATAAAAGTAAAGAAAGAAGCTATAAGTGAGATAGAAATAATACTTAAACTTGTTATAATGATAATAAAAATACGAAAAAACATTATTCAAGCAACAATGAAGCATATAGTTACGATGACATCAAGCTAATGAGATAAAAATTTAAATACAAATACATCAGCTGTAATATTCATATTGATGATTTGAGAACAACATGCAATCGACATCTAAATTATAGACAGTCATATGATGAGTTGACAAAAGGCTGTCTCTAATTTATGACATAATACAATACCTAGTTTTGACATAGAAGCTGTGAGACCTAATATGAATGCATGTGCGTGCTGATGAGCTTTTAAAAACTACGGTAGATTTCTGAATGGCTGAATTATTCTCTATTTCTTCTCTCCATAATCCCACCCATAGCTTTTAAGTCTTTTACTCTTTCTCTCTCTCTCTTTCTCTATCTCTCTCTCTTTTTCTTCTATTCATTCTCTCAAAGCTTTTTATCCGAATTTCCTATTTATTGGTTACCTCATCACGGCTTATTCGTTAAAGGACAATATTAATTAAAGGTTTTGAATAAAAGCTTCTTTCCCGATTGGAAGAATAATTATTTATTTTCGCTCACCTTAACGAGATATCTCATTTAACTGTCTGTCTGAAGACGACGACAGATGTTATGAACAAATGTTTGAGAAAGGTCGTTTAAGACGTTTTACTCTATCATTAGAGTAGTAATCGCTAATGGAACATCATAATGTGCTACATCCGCATTCAGGTGTTATATGAAAGATCATGAAGAGGAAAAAAAAGTAAAACATTCAATCAGATAGAATGTAATTCATCTTTAATGGATATATAGAGATTCTTAATGGCAAATGATATTTCTGATTAATTGAAGAGAAAGATAACAAGTAATACATATCCGAATAAGGATAGCATTATGAAAAGAGAAAAAAAAATAATATTATGATTGAAGAAAATAAGAAGAAAAGTTATTATTATGGAAAGAAGATGTTATACAATCATAGTTAAGAATTTTACTTATTCTTTATCTATCATGTTATACATCCTCTTCATTTTTCTTGTGTAAATGAATAAAAACAACTTGGAAATCTGAGAGAACAGTGAAAATTGAAAAATAGAATACAGAACTTGTAATAGGATGAGATTTTGGCTTTTTTTTTCTTTTTGCTGGATTGTATCAATGAAATAACAAATATTACAGATGATAGTAAAGCATTACATCACTCATGATTAGAGTCTGCCAGTTGACACTAATATTCGTATGCAAATGAGCTATTATTGTTTTTTTTCAAATAATAAATGAAATTCAAACTACAGTAATCACAAGTTAGACATTTGGTTTTAATATATGCAAGAAAGTGTCACGCTATCGGTGTTAAAAGCATAAACAAAAAGTTAGTTTTGAGTATTTCAAACCTATCTCCAAGTTAATTGCTGAAAAAAAAAACTGAAAATGTTTATAAACATCTGGATATATGATGTTAGTCGTGTACGGACAGCGTGTTTGGAAATTAAGATAGTAACAGAAAGATAAAAGCTAAATGATTAGTGTTATAATGAAACTTAGCAAAATGAAAAGGGGGGTATATGAAGAGGAATCCGATAACTAGAAATATGAAGATAGAACTTTAAATATTGAAATATGAAGAATAGGTAGTGTGATGAAGCTTATATCTTAACAACTACTAAGATGAAATTTGATATGAAGCTGCTTCTGAAGGGAAGAAAAGCTAATGAAAGAGAAAAGTATAACAAAATTAATTTTTCATGTCTTAAGTTATATAAATATATCAATTGAGAAAATAGATTAAGCTTGTCCTCAATGTTATGATGATTCTGCAAGGAAATAAAAGAGAACAGGTAGTGTATCTATCTCTCTCCCTTAATACGTAAAAGCTTTTAGCCATCAGAGAAATTGATGAAGAAGGAAGACTCGAGAAAAAAAAAAAGAGGAAGAAGAGGTAGATGGTGGGGGGGGGAAGCAAAACAATATATGGAGGATGAGAGAAAAAAAGTTGGAACATATTTCTGAAATCCGAAACTTTTTGAATTTATTTTTCTGACAAGACTATGTCAAATGAAAAGTAATTGAAATTGGTGATGGATATCTGAAGCAAACTGTCACAGAGTCTTTGTGCTTCATCAAGGCTCTCCAATGTTCTGACAGACATCTAGTGTGCAAAAACAGATAATAGTCTATAGTGTCATCAATTCTATGCTCACTATGTCTTTTATTGAGCCAAGTATAATATATATAAAGTGTCTTATACATTTTCGGCTTGTTATCCGCAATATTGGTTTAGATACACGAAACGAATGAGATAGCTTAGATACTAATATTTTGTTCCAAAATATAAAAAAAAAAAGAAAGAAAGAAAGAAGAAAGTATCAGACAACATAAAATGAAATCATAGATCTAACGATGCTTCAAGCTTAATGAAACATTTCAGATAAAATGTTCCAGGCAATTTTAACATAATGAATAGTAGTTGAGTGCGTCGTCGTCAATAAATGAATAGAAACTAACATGATAGTTAGAAATTTCAATAAATATAAGTTAAGAAAATTTGTTCACTTGAAAAGCTAGTGAAAGTGCCTAATCGTGTGGATTGTAAGCTTTTGCTTATCTTTATTCACGTCCAAAACACTTGCTAATCCTGTTTCATTCCTAATCAAAAGAAAGTGAATAATTGCGCAACGACTTGTTCCAGTTTCAATTGGAAATAAAGATATATAGGATAAAAAAAGCTAGAGAAGCTTTAAGGATAATTAGAAACATTCAATTGACCACGACTTATCAAGCAACAAAAAAGGATTGTTGAAGCGTATCGGAATGTTTGAATTGCTTAACGTACGACTTACTAATAAACATAAGTGCAGATTGATCAACGTCACGCACTTCTCTGCATAGATGAAAAGCCTGAAGTTATTTTTTATAAATTGATCGAACAACAATTTGAAACCAGTCGACTCCATATTTTCCCTCATCAAGGCTAAAAAAAAGCAGATGAAGTAATTGAAACTTTTGTCACGTTGGCCATCTGTAACTAGCTGACTGTCGGGTGTTCATAACTTCAACATTTCTCATGTGTTCAGCTTCATTATGCATCTGGCAATATGTCTGGATGGTAAGAGTGATGCATCCTTTGATTTTCGACAATTTATTGTTTCGATATGTAGCATCAATTCTTATCTCAGTCTTAGTGTAAAATCCATTTTGTCTTTGCTTTTTTCTCTCATATTCACTCGATGAAGTCATTTAAAACCTGTTCTTGCGTAATGACCAATGAACGCTAAAATCATCGAATGTTAGAAGTTTCAATTGGAATCATGGACATGACTAGATTTGAAAACTTCATTTCAAATACAATTAAGATGAAAATGATCATTATAAAGTGATAAAATGTTTGAACTCCCTATTGAATGCTTGTTTGAAATCTGGACTGAATACTGCATAGATGATAGGATTAACACCAGAGTTAACTAATACATACTCTTTAAGTAAGATAAATAATATTTGCAAACTCACAATAGCCTAGCCAGAAGATAGGCTGGAATACTTCATCGGGCAAACTATATCCGAATCCACCAATGACGTATAAAGTCTGCAAATGAATCAACTATCTGTACTATCACTTGAGAGAATCTCACAAAGAATGGTAACCATAAAGCTATAAATCCAATGAGAATCAAACCAATCAAAAACGTTGCTTGACGTTCTTTATTGCGTAACTTTTTATGTATTGTTTCTCTTCTTTGTTGAAGAACATTATCACTGTCACCAGCTTCATAAATGATCAGATTAAAAAATGATTTTAATGATGAAAATCATACATAAGCTTTGTGATTGTTCCAATACTTTGGAACATCGATAACTCTCTCGTAGACGTCTTCTTGAGTATTCATCAGTTATTTTATGAATCCTCCAATAAACAAATAATATTATAGTAATTGGAATATAGAAAGAGCCACTTGCTGAATACAAAACATATCCTGTAACAGTTATTATGTTGTTCATAAGACCATATAGAAACATATAATAGCAATTGGCTGTCATATGACGATAGTTCAACAGAGAGACATAAAAATAAATATGTTTTCTTAAGTTTTCTCTTATATTTTTGTTGCATAAAAGTTTATATGAGAAAGCATACCCAAATCAGAGCTTATTACACATTCTTGATTCCGTTGTTGATGTCTCCATCCTATAAGTGGAGGAAGAGATATTATGAGTGACAACAACCATGCTAAAACTGAAACAAAAAAAAAGAGTGAATGACATAGATATCGATTGATTTCATTATGATCTACTTACTTATAGTTATTGTTGTAACCTTATTATGTGGTAAAGATGCATATTTAACAGGAAATTTCATAGAGACAAATCGATGGATAGCTATTGCACATATATGAAGATTTGAAGATGTTACAAATAAAACATCTAAAGCCAACCATATTTCACATAATACTAGGCCTTAAATGGTGTAATAATACGTGATATACGGTATGATGATTATTATTGGAGCAAACCTAAAACCCATTTTTTCCATATTTCATATATCAAAGTCATTGGCATAACAATCAATCCAACTGACAAATCAGCTATTGCCAAGGATGCTACAATCCAATACTGATGTTGCTGACGCAAACGATTGTCATGTAGTATTGTCCAGATGACTATGCAGTTTCCCATAATTATTATCTGCAGAAGTTGTAAATGAAGTTTTTCATTTTTTCAAAATTTTATTTCTGTTTTTGATGGAAATGAATGAAATGAGAGTCATTATTATGAGATGATATGTGTATGTGTATGGCAATGCAAAACAGTAAAATGTTCATCTATAGCTTTTGAATATATACAATAACTTACAACAATTATGGATAAGATGCTGGATGATGTAACCAATCCGCATAGCCAGCTTATTGGATAGGTATTTGATTCTTCATTTGTCATTATTATTTCAATATATAGTTGAATTATAGAAGATTCTGCTTACTTGCCAAAGAATATGATGCCAATGAACATCTTTTCATTGCTTGAGCACATGTGGCTTAGATGATAGATAAGGTTTACTAGCTATCTATTATGAGAATGAATTGATCATTTCAGATCTTTGCTATGCGTTAAGAAAAATCTTTTTTTTTCCCAACTTGTCCCTCTTCATCAATGATTTATCGAATTTAAAACTTCTATATTGTTTTTTTTTCTTTTTTATACATACGAATTCTATAAAAACTTTCTTGAACTCAATGATTTTCATCTATTGTGGATGGGGGGAGGATAATCCATGCAGTGAAATGCACCATCAAACTATTTAAGAATATATATAGTTTGATTCATGTCTGAAACCTTTTACTAGTACTTTTTTTTATCTCTCTTCTTCTCTTTTTACCATATGAGCATGAGCTTTCGCCTTGAAAGGAATAAACGAAATACTATTTTCTCCATTTAGTTTTCGTGAGAGAGAGAAAGAGCTTGGTATCCTATTTCGAGAAAATTTGAGTCACCCTTAAGTGCAGGATATTTAGTCAACATATTGTCTTTCATTTCGTTTAATTCAATTCATGATCAATTTTTCATAGTTCATCGGTTGAAAAACATTTAATTGTTCTATTTTCTTTTATTTTACTCCAATCACTATTACATCCATTTTTTCGTTTTCTCCTTTACCAACTCTGCCCTCTATACTCGTTTCTCAGATTTCAACAAAAAAAGCTTAAAAACAGGAAAAGTCTCCAAGCTGTTCCTTAGCAATGAGATATGGTTTTGTGTTTTTCTCACTTTTTTTGTCAACTATATGCCAAGGGTTTTTTTTTTGGAGCTATTAATTTTAATTATCTTCACGAGGTCGTTTGTTATTGTTTTTAAGCAGCAGATTCTCTTTTAACTTCTTTTACTCTCTCTCCATCGCTTTTTTTTTTTGACAGTCAGGATTTTCTCTTCAGCCGTTTTTTTTTCTGCCAATAATCTTCGTGAAAGCCATAGCATTTTTTGAAAGCTCCGCCTATTCGGCACCATTCCAGTGGGGGCACTCTTAGGCAAAGAACACAGATAGCTAGCAGTTGTGCATTTCAACCATGTCATCATTTATGTCTGATACTGAATACTATTCAGCATCATGGAACAATATGGATAATTTGCCTACTAATCAATTATCAACATTTCAAACGATATGTCCGACAGTGTTAACAGTAAGTTCCTTTCATCTATGCTCAGTATCTCTTGTTCTCTTTACCTTGAAGTTTTAAAAAACAAAACACCTTGCTTTCATCTAACACTCGATCTCATTCATATTTTTATTTATTCTTATTAAAGGTTCTGGAAATTGTCATGGCTCTTTTCCTCATTCTTGTAACAGTCGTAGGCAACGTACTTGTTTGTATTGTCATTATGAAAGTTCCTAAGCTACAACAGCCAGGAAATTTTTTATTGGTTTCGCTAGCAGTAGCAGACGCTCTTGTAGGATTAGTCGTCATGCCATTAGCACTAATTGATCTCATATTTGAGAAATGGCTCTTAGGACCGTAAGTTTCTTTAACTTTCCTTATATTGACAGTCAAAACTATTGAATTGTATGAAATGTTCCGATTTTTGAAACACATATTATTATTGAAGCAGTTATACTCTGAGATAAATTGTGTGTGAAAGAGAAAAATGATGCGAATTGATGTTAAACTCAAAAATCACTCTATCCATTATGACTGTGTTTTATTGTCTTATGGGTGGTTTGAACGCATCCACTCTATATAATTGAGATTCGTGAGAGATATTTGAAAAAGAAAAAGAAAAAAAAAAGCACTGAAAACAGTTTTGTAATGTGTAATGGATGAAGTGTCCTCATGCTAACCTCTGCCTCATCTACATTTCAATGAATAGTTTGAAATACAGTTATATTTTTGTATTCAAATTATGCACAAGCAGCAATGAAATGTTTTTTAATCAGCTTTTTCTATTTTTTTTTCATGTTTTCATAAACAAAAAAAAAAAGAACGTTAAAGAATACATAGATGTGAGAGTACTAAAATCTATACTGTCGTTGGCGTTGTTGATATCATTCACTGATTGTTCTGTTTGTGTTTATTGTTGTTTGACACTGGTTAGTCGATCATGCCCCGACGAACCAAAAAAACACATAGAGACATCTCAGTTAGTTAAAAAACGTCAAAAAAACTTAATGTTAGATGAAAACTTTACTTATTTAGTTTTCTCTTCGACAGACGTCTGAGATAGCCCACAAAACAGCCAACGGATATTTCTTTTCGAATAAAAAAACTAGGGGATATTTTGAATTCCTATTTGGTTTTTTGTTATCTTATCGAGTAGGATCGGGAACCTGAACAGAAGGGTTTTACGGAGAGTGAAGAAAAAAAAACTTTTTGATTCATAGCCTCATAAAGCAGCTTAAACGCTTTTATGAACGCTCTAATGACTTTCTCAAAGTTAAATGCTAAAGATGAGAGATAATCTTAAAGAACCATCTTGAAACTCATTTAATTTTCAGATATATGTGCAAGCTTTACTTAACAGCTGACTTATTCTTATGTACAGCTTCCATTGTGAATATATGTGCTATATCTGTTGACAGATATCTGGTCATTTCACGCCCTCTTCATTATGTTACTCGACGAACCAATGGTCGAATACTAGTTTACATAGCTATAGTATGGACAGTGGCAGCATTTGTCAGTGTATCATCACATATCATGACTACCGTTATACCTGATTCTGATTACAGTCAGCCAGACACCTGTCAGGTGAGAAATTTGATATATTTTCCCATATAATTCAATTCATTTTATTCCTTTTTCTTTTTCATGTTAAAGCAAAAGGAATAGATAGAAATCATAAACAAAAAATTCAATCTTATTATAGCTTCAGATGATTTATAAATACATAAATGAAAAAAAAAAAGACACAGTTGTTATAACATAAATTATAGGTTACACAACATATAGCCTATCAAATATATGCTACCATTATTGCTTTTTATGGTCCAACATGTATAATGGTTGTGTTGTACATCAAAATTTGGAAATCTGCTAAACGAGTTGCGCGAGAAGAAAACTACTGGATCAATCTCAATCGAGCTGACATACACACAACAGACGATGAGGTCAAAATTTTATTAGAAAGTTGTTCGCCTATAAAGAAACAAGATAATGGCAAACAGACGAGTCAAGTAACAAGAAAACGTAATATCAGCATAAAGAAGGTATATATATCGATTTTTATATATTCTAAGTAAAAAAAAATATTTATATAAGACATATTTATATATATATATATTGTAAATTGAATTTACTATTTATAGATTAATATAAAGAATGGATGTAAAGCAAGAAAAACGTTACTTGTCATTATGAGCACTTTCATTATATGCTGGCTGCCATTTTTCTGTTTTGCTATTGTTAAATCGGTTTTTCGCGTTAGAATTGAACCATGGCTTGATTTATTGGCTCTATGGTTGGGTTATTCTAATAGGTATATAATTATATTTATTTTATTTATTGCATCACACACACACACTCTCTCTCTCTCTCGCTCTCTCTCTCTCTCTTTCTTCTTTTTTTTTTCATTTTGAAAATTAGATGCTTGACTATAGGTATTATGTTTGTATTTAAATTTATTTTCAGTGCATTGAATCCAGCAATTTATTGTAAATATAATAGAGATTTACGAACACCTCTAAGGGAAATGTTGTTATGTCGATGTAGTACACTACAGAGCGTTTTGCGTCAACAAACTTTCAACAATCGCTATGGTCCAAGTAAAGGGTATATTTTTGTTTAAAAATAAGAAAGCAGAATATACATTTATAGAGCAAAATGAAATATGTTTCAATATGTGAGGGGTGGTATGGAATGAATGAATGGAATATTCCTTTTTTGACAATTAACAATCTGTGATGAGATGTTTGTACCAATAATATGTGTAAACGTATACTGACTGGTGGATTTTATCATATTAATTATAATACAAGCAAAAAAATAGAAAAAAGAGAATGTTTTATTATATAAAATAGACTTTATTAACAAATCAATCTATTCATTAACATATGTGACTGCTGACAGATGGCTTCATCTCAATAACATCAATTGCATTTGTATGTACATTTAAAAATTTATTCATAAAATGAGGTCAAAGTTTAGGATATTGAACTAACGTAATGAAAGTGGTTGAACATTATTCTATCAACACTCTCCGTTAAGCATGTTCTTTTTCTTATTGTAAAAGAAAGTTTTCTTCCTCGCCCATTGATTTAATTATGTCGCTGTGGCACTCTGCAAATCCTTCAATACCCAATTTGTTCGTCAACGCTCTTTTGAGTATTCTCAACAGCATGCATATGCTTTTTCGTACCATGTTGATACTTTTTTTTTTCTTCATTTTATTTATTTTTGTATTATCTCTCTTTCTCAATATATATTTTCAAATACAAATTTTGTTGCATCATGCTGATAACTCAATGTATGCTCAACAATATTTCTGTTTCGTATTTGTAAGCTGGACTGATTTGAAGCAACAAGTAAGATTGCATTTCGTCTTTTTTTTCTTCATTCTTTATAACATAAGAAGAAAGAATGAAATGTGGTAGACGAGGAATAAAAAATATTTTTTCTCGTATTCTCCCAATAGGAAACACAAATTTCCGTTTTATAATTTGATGCAAATGTGGACTGATATATCCACGAGTTTAAATAAAAGAAAGAAACGAAGATATTTGTCTTTTCTGACATATGAATTTAGTTTTTTTTTAAAAAATGGTCTCTCACAATCAATACTTGACAACGGGGACAGCAAGAAATGACAAAAAAAAGCAAGAAGAACGAACCACTTGAAGAAAAATCATTTAGAATGAAGCTTGGACAACTCTTGTTTCAAGTTACTATGGCATGCTTATTACCGATTTTCTTTATTACTCTCTATTGATTCAATCATTAGCTAAAATTAATACTTCATTCAGCTTATTTTAGAAAATGGTTCGACTTCTGTTTGTTATATTATTGACAGATATGATCATATCTTTTATTGTTGCCAGTTACACATCAGATATGTTAGATCGTTGTGCTAATGATACAGAAATTATTGATCATTTGCTGTTTGATACAGCACAACATTATAATAAGCATAAACTGCCTTCAAGTCCAGTACATGTTCGTATAGAGATGTGGGTTCAAGAAGTTACATCAGTATCAGAATTGACACAAGATTTCGAGATAGGTAAATCATTTTTTAGTTTCATTCATTTGTTTTTCTCAAGATTTGTATATGAATGAGTATTGGACTGACCCTGGGTTAGCATACAGCTCACTTAATCCTTGTCAAGGTAATCTCTCATTTGATTGGACTGTTCTGCAAAACATCTGGACTCCTAATACGTGCTTTGTCAATTCCAAAGCAGCTCAAATTCACAGTTCGCCATTTCGAAATGTGTTTCTCATGGTGTTCCCAAACGGTAAATAAACTTTAAAGATAATTGAATTCAATCTGATAGGATCTATATGGTCAAATTGGAGGATCAAAAGCACTGGTCCATGTACAATGGATTTATCAAAATTCCCAATAGATCAAATAGAATGTACTCTCACCTTTGAATCTTTCAATTATAACAGGGTAAGGATTTTTTTGTTATTTGAGTCGACGAATCTTTCTTTACTTACTGAGCTTTTCTTTTTTTAGGAAGAAGTACACATGGAATGGAACTCCATTCCCATCATCCAGTTCAAAGATATTGAACTACCAGATTTCAGTATGGTTAGATTTAATGTTTCAGCAAACAAAACGGTAATTCTAACCTAGTTCTTTGTGACAGATAATTTTAAATATTTCTTGAAGCGTTATGCTGCGGGATATTGGGATGAGTTATCTGTGAACTTTCTATTTCGTCGTCGCTATGGATGGTATTTGCTACAAGGTATACATACTACAAGTTTATCTTAAAAAATATCAGTTTCAGGCTTTATTCCCACGTATATGACGGTGTTCATCTCTTGGATACCATTCTACTTAGGACCAAGAGCTATTCCAGCCAGAACAATGATAGGTGTAAACGCTTTGTTAGCCATGACCTTTCAATTTGGAAGTATCATCCGTAATCTTCCCCGTGTGTCATATGTGAAAGCAATAGACGTGTGGATGTTAAGGTATACATAAAACGATTAACGTCCAATAGACATAGAATAGTTCAAAAGAAATAAAAGAGAGTAACAGTTTTTGTCTCTTTCAGTGGAATATCATTCGTTTTTGCATCTTTAATTGAGTTGGCCACAATAGGATATTTAACACGTGATGAAGGACGTGTTAATCCATCATCAAGTATTGGTAGTATTAGGTGGGAATAACGAATGAATTCATTGTTTGATCTACTAATGTATCAGGTGGAAAGTACCTAATGTTAAAGAACCAACTGGTAAATCACGAAACATGACCATCTGTGAGAATGTTGATTATTGGGCAAGGATAGGATTTCCATGTGAGTCATCATTTCTTTTTTTTTTTGCAAAAGTCATCCAATACAATTGTTATAGTTATATATTCTGTGTATAATGCCATCTATTGGCTTGTATACATGAGAAGTGCTATGAAAGACGCTGTTATGTGAATCATCTGCCAGCCGATATATTATCTGCCAATATAAGAACAATATGAATAAAATAATAATATAATGATATAATTTTCGATTAATACAATCAAAGGATACTACTACTATCATCATCATCTTGATCAGTTATAAGCTTTTATCAATGAATCATGTGAATTCAGATGAAGAATGATAGAAAACTTGATCTGGTAGAAACGAAACATGTTTTTGTTGAACATATTCCAACATTTAAAGTCCAACCTTCATAGTCACATCATCGATTGACCAAATATATTCGTCTTACTTGAAAGATCAAAAAGCTCAAACAGATCAATTAAACAAATTTGTAATGCAAGTTCAATAGGATAGTTTCATAATTTTCGAATATAAATTTCAAATCATCATTTTTTATTTTTTTCCAACGCTTTGTTTGTTTTACGTTTAACGCAGATATTGTCACATCATCAAATCCCTTTGGTCATTAGATCTTGGTCATTAAGAACACATTAAGATGCATTTTTTGCCCTCACATTAGAAAATGTATAAATATAAGGTTAGCATACCTTTGACCTTTTATGAGACGCTCTTGCGCGTGGTCAGTCTACTTGAGAACCCCAACTTCTTAGGCTGCACTAGTGCATTTTTCCCAATAGGGTGACCTTTCCCATCTCTTTGTTTTTTTTCTTTTCCCTGCATTTCTCTCTCCATTCTGCATGCTCTGTAACTTTCCCTTTTTCTTTTAATGTCGCCTGAATGGTCCCACTCTCATTTCCTTGAACCATATCTTGTTTGCGACCTCTATCTATTTCTCTGCTCTCTCTCATTCTTACATACTGTCTCGGACACGCTACCTTGCGCCTAGGTCATTCTATTCTATCTTTGCATACCATCAATGACCTCCATGTCATTCCCTCCCAAATATACGTATTTGGCATCATTCCCTCACGCTCTATCTCTGCACGAACATCTTTCAGCGTCCTTTTTTTTCTTTAATAAATCGTTCAATCCGGAATCTTTTGAAAGTTGTAATCATTTTATTTGAGAACCTTCTTAAAGCAAAGAATTCTATGATATGTCTTCAAACTCATGAATACATGAAATACGTAATATTCGTTTCATTTTCCATACATCTTTTCATTGAGATCAATGATGCATTTTCATTTTATTTATATTTGTTTATCATGTGAACCTTGTTTTCTTGTAAATTCTTGCTTCCATGTATAACTTTTTTTTTTCGCTAAGATTACAAGTTTGCTGAGTGGATCACAGAAAACGATCTGGTTAATCATTTAAAATGATTTTATTACTTGTATCCTTGGTGTTTTTACAAACAACCACAGGTATCAAATATATTCTATTGATTCATTAAGCTTCTGTTTTTTGTAGCTCAAATAGGTAGTCCTGCAGTGCAGGTTAAAATAACTGATACACCTTTCTCCGTTTCAAATTCTCAACAGTTAAAACAAATCAAATGGGTTAGATTAGGCCCAACAACGAAACAAGCAATTTATTGTGTAAGTACAATCTCAGTCTAATTACCAGATGGTTGAACCTCATTTAGGTTTCTGAAACACCTGTCAGTCAGCTACGTTTCGTTTGTACCGATTGTCTGGAGAAAAACATTACTGATATTGTTGATGTTCTTAGTTCTGCTTCAGATTTGACAAGGATTGCTGGATTTCCGGTAAATACTTTTGTTTGCGTATTATTGGATATTTGTTTAGTGTGTTATGTTGAAAGACGTAGCTGTTAATGTCAATTGGACCGGAGCAACAGTTATATGTCAGGCAGCCGTTAATGGAGGTAATATAGATTTTCTCTCTCAATTGTTTAATAAGTACTCTTCACACAACTGTATTTTTCATTTTTTTTAGGTACTGTTGATTCTCAACCAGCTGTTATTGATGTGCAGTACCTTTACCAACCACATGTTGTTGACTCGACGGGACAAAGCCCAGTTTTGATAACTGGACAAGGATACAGGTTTAATTTGGATAATTTTTTATAAAAAAATAATATATTTTTAAGATTCTATGTTGAATGTGTTCAAGGTGCTGATGGTAAATGTCAACAAGCAGAGCGACGAAAAACTCTCAGATGTAATGTACAGTCTCATCCTCCCCCTACATCATATAGATGGCTAAAAAACGGACAATCAACAAGGTATCTACACAGACAAAACTCCAATGACCTATATTCTTAATTGTTAGTGTGAACGACGTTCAAATGACACTCGGTACTGAAATGATCGGACATTCTATTCAATGCCAGGCAAACAATGGATTGTACTCGGAGCTGGAGATGCCGACTAGTCCTTCCGTTCAGATTGATCCATATTGTACTTTGATGTCACAGTAGTTTTCTGCTCATTATAGTTTTTTAGCGCCAGCAAGATTGATTCAAACTAATTTCGCTGCATTGCAATCGTCCTCACCATTCCAAGCAGGGAATAGATTAGAGATAAATCAGCAAATAAACTTGGGATGTCAAGTGCAAGGAAATCCTAGGCCTGTTGTTTTCTGGAGACTTCGCAAAAGCAACGGACAGGTGCAATTGAGAGTCTCTTCACAAATAAACTTGAATGTTTAGGTAGTTGAAGCTCCTTGTCCTCAAGGTTTCGATGGACAATACCAAGAAGTATCAAATGACGTTGGAGGCTCAGCCACTGTAAGCAATTTCATTCTTCAGCTTCAAGTATCAATAACTTTTTAGCGTCTTAACGCTGTATGTTCTCTTCGAGTTGCCAACTTTTCTTATTCTGGAACATACTGGTGTTCGGCTTGCTCTTATGTTAGCCAAGGCTCTCCAGAATGCTCACCTGGATTGAACATTCCTGGAAGCAGCACTTTGACCATACAAGCCATTGGAGCCCCAGAAGTATCAGATATGCCCATAAGTATTGAACAGGTTTCATCAGTTTCCTTCAAACTTCAATTATTTGATTAATTTTGCAGATTCCAAACTCTAACAAAATGGTTTTGACTGTCAGATATTGCGCTGACCCCATGCCTCGCCCACCCAGAGAAGTTGTCTTCAGTATTGATAACAACGACTTACAAGTAAGAAACAGTTGAAAAATGATACATACAGTTTTGTAACTTAAAGGTCGGTCAATCATGGCAAAACTTCCGCTTCGAAACCACGGCTCAAAACAACACAGTTCCCAACTGCTATCTCGCTCGACTTCTTGTAAACTCTATGACCAAAGAAGATCAGTATCGCAAGATATCATTGAAGCTCCAGAATCAGTTTGGAATGAAAACGTGAGGCTTGACTTGAAGAATCTTTTCAAAAATTTGTTTCAGAATAAACATTCCTATCGACAATTTGTTAGGAGAAAGTTCAACACTCGCAGCTCATCTGTCTGGATGGTGGATAACCTTCTTAGTAGCATTAGCTTCAGCTGTTTTGTCAGTCTGTCTGATTACAATTTGTGTTAAGAAAGGGCTTTTATGCTTTTCAAGTGAGTGTGCACTTGGTATAATGAGGGTATAAAAACATTTTCAGGTTCAGAAACGGAGGAAAACATGAAGTATGGTGAAAAGAAGGCCAAAGAGGAGTGAGTATATTGAATAATCGAACAAACACTTATAAGAATCATTCAGTTTCAATATGAACGGAACATATTTCGATGCCTTCGACTCTAATGATTTTAACACGAACGAAAATGCAGATTGTGAGGTACGAGTAGCGAGGAGTGGCTATAACGTATATATGAGCCGCGAAGCTGTTGTCTGAGAAATCCTTTAGAAAGGTGAGCAGAATGTGTTGCGGTCTCGCATGTACTAACTAACAATCGCTCTCTCACATGCTTCACAAAAGCTTTTTCATTCACCGCTTCAAACTATATGTGTACTCACAACGTCTTCTGCTCTATGCCTTACTAAAGGATAATTAGTTATAGCAGTGCTCATAGATAGTGTCGTTATTTCACAAATGCATGTTTTCAGGCAGATTTATATGAAATGGCTGTGAAGGTAGCGTACAGTGGTTGTGATTCTAGAAGTTCAACAGTTTGAAATCACATTTCTCCATATCATATTTCAATACCGTCTTGATCTTCTCTCAAGCTATATATGTCTTTTCCATACAAATTTGATAATTTCCATTTATGACTAATTATGTGAATATTTTTTCTCTTCATTTATATAAACAGAAAAATCTCATTTCTATCATTATTATCTTCTTAATATAGACGATGACCTTTTTTGTTTTTTTTTTGAAAATTTTGTTTGACTTATTCTAATTTCTAATACGAGTTTTTATCACACGAAAACCAATTGATTCTCATTGTGCTATGAATGTATTTTTGCTCAATAAACATGTTTCAAGTCTATATAGTATTTATAAACACTACAGGTACACTATCTTATCCTTAAATAATATGTAAAGTTGTTATTGTTTCATTTGCATACAATGTTATTAAGTTGACAGACTGGTGGAATTTATATTTTTCATTTAGGATTGCTCTGAAGTCAAATATCAAATAAACTCTGTTTCATTCTTTTCCCTCCATATTATAATATTATATATTATATGTATGGAGCGTATAAATGAAGCGTTGTTTCTGTAATCTAGATAATTATCATGATCATGATGATTTTTAGTAGTCAAAAGGCTGATGACAGTGATGTATGATAGAGAAATGTATTTTACGATTATAATGACCTTGACTTATAGTATTCAATCAGTCTAACACTTGTGATTTTGTGCCGATCATCTGAGCTATTCGGCATAAATTATATGTTGAGCACTCATATCAGTAATATATACGAATGTAAGCTGTTCTTCTGACAACAATCAGATTAGCTACACACCTAGCATGTCTTATCCAACTTGTACGTCATTCATTTAATATTACTCGCTGCGCTACAGTATTTATAAAATGAACACATGATAACCTTTCAGTCTATTCACGTAACATCGATTAAACAATTAAAAGACTGAGAGTATAAAACATTTTCATGAGTTGTAATTGAAATCTATTCATACTATCTGTTATGTTAAAACCTGTTTATTCGGAAAAAATCACATATTGTACCTGTTTTATTCATGTGCCATCCATCAATTTTTAGCGATTAATGATTTCATTTCGTTCACTTGTCCTTGCAGTAGGTACAATTTCCAGTTGCTTCACATCTAATATTATCAAACGTTAGAATATTATAAACTTTCAATTATTATTTCTTCAATCAGTCTGTTTGTTTTATTTTAATATTATTTTCAGTCAGATATGAAAGAATCAGACACAGACTTGAAGAATGTGAAGGGTTCACGTACCAGATACATAGTCCTTCTATTAGGTTTGCTAACTATAATACAATATGTACATGAATATCATATCTTCAAGGTACTCTATGTATTGCCAGTATTGCTTCCAACATGATTGTTTTCAATTTTACTGTCATTTGTATGACCAATCCTAATAACGCTACAGAAACATCATCAAGCGTTTATTCTCAAGTACAAATTTCACAGCTGAATTGGGCTGTTGGTGTTGGAACTTTACTCGCTGCTTGGCCTTTCCATTGGTATCATTATTGTTTCATCTGAAAATAATACCAAAATATAGGTTCTACATGAAATACGGGGCACGCGTTGTATTTTTCGTAGCTGGTCTGATCTCAGCTCTTTCTACTGTATCGATTCCACTAGTGGCATTCAATGAATTCTATCTTTTCCTTCTAGCGCGTTTCGCTCAGGTTAGGAGAAGATTAATAATGATGAAAACTGAAAAAAAATTTGAAGGGAATATCATTCGGAGCTGATTTTGCTGCCATTGGGTTGATTGTCGTTAATTGGGCAACGCTCAAACAGCATGGCTTTTTCATTTCATTATTGTCCTCTTTCTCACAAATATCTGTCATGTTCACAATGCCATTGGCTGGAGAGGTATTTCCTTATTTGGTTTATATAACTCAAAATGTTTAAGTTATGTGAATCAAACTTGGGATGGCAGAGTGTCTACTATGTGCATGGCTTACTCAGCGTTGTACTATTTTCGGCATGGCTCTACTATTACAGGTATGTGACAAGCTTGAACGAACGTTCATTACTCTCAAATAAAGAAATGATCCAGCCGACCATCCAAAGATAACTGAAAAAGAACTCGGAAAAATACATAGTGGAAAAGAAGAGACTCTTGACGAACCAGATGAGACTCCTGTCAGAGTAAGTTGAATCATATGAGGATTTTGCTTAATGCTACTCTGTCAGGCTATCATGAGCAACAAAGTCATTTGGGCTGTTTGGTTGTCTGCTTTTGGTGAACTTCTGATGTCTCAGTTCATAGTTATGTACGGATCGATATATCTAAAGGAGGTGGAGAGCACATAACTAACCGATCTCTAACTGCCATTTTTTAAGGTTTTGGGATTCCAAGTCGCACATACCGGCTATTTCGTTGCAATCCCAAGAGCGTTACACTTGGCATTCAAGGTTATTTCTGGCATTGCTTCAGACAAAATCCAGTTCCTTTCCGAGAAAGCCAAAATGAAAATATTCAACAGCATCGCTTTGATGGTTTGAGCAAAACATTTTTTTTTAAAAAAAAGAATCTACAGGTTTCCGGATTATTCTTCTGCTTGCTCGGATTCTTACCAAAGGATTATTCCAATTATGCTCTGGCTTCCCTCTTGGCTATCGAAATCTCTACCGGTTTCATTTGTGGTGGTTTCTACAAATGTGCAACGCTTGTATCCAGGTGACGGAAAAAGGTCTGAATAGAATAACATAGATAATGGTTACAGACAGCATTCTCATTTTGTTCTTTCCCAAATTCAGTTCATAAAATGCTTATCACTTTTTATTGAACCATTGTTGGTGTATCTTCTCTGTCCAGATAACACGTTGATTCAATGGAGAGTCGTTTTCCTTATACACGGATTCCTTCTCATCGGTAATTTACAAACATACACAACAAACTGAAACCTTACAATTGAAGGAGGAAATATTGTATTTTGCTTGTTTGCTACTGACAAGCCAGCCGACTTCACGAAACCAAGAAATCGTGTACGAGTACCACTGGTTGATGTACCTACAGAAAGAGACAGGTTAGTTTTACATATCTGAACATTACATTTTTTAGTTTTTAATAATATTTTTTTTCGAAATTTCATCAAATAATCTTAGGGAAATCCAGTCGTGAACTAAAACTTGAACACATGTGCTAATTTATTGTTATTCTGAATATTTCTTGTGACAAAACGTCTATTATAACTGTAAATTTTAAACTAAACTACTAAACTTAGTTTTGCTTCTCACATGAATTAGCGACTCAGTTGTGACATCTTTGAATTATTGATGTAAAAATCTAATTTTTAATTTATTTTGTTAACGTTTAACACATGTACACTAATTGAGCTAGCACACACACACACACACACAAATGTATTTCTATTTCACATGAATTAGATTCTTTCAGACTCACTAATTCGGGAGAATAAAACGAACATCTTCTTTAGAATGCTTGTGATAACGAATATGGTTTAACGAACTATCCTGTAACATGACGCAGCTATGACTGTTGTTACCATGCAATAAACGTTTACATTCCATCTTGTTTTTATCAATTAGTTTTTCAAACATCTATTACAGTCTCACATATTTCAGAAACTTACACTGTTGTCGGAATTATTCCCATAAAACGAGTTTACCAAACTCTAACTCAATTATTTTCTCTATAAAAAGTACATTATGAAATAGAAAACGTCATAGCCTGTTCTCATGATAGTTCAATCAAAAAATATTTTTCAAAGGCATTGATTCACATTAACCAACCTGATTATGTATGGATTCTTAAAAAAAACTTTTAAAAATTTTTAACCACGAATGATATTTCAAAGCTGATGTTCATGGGGGGTTTTCAAGTTACTTTCACTTTCAAAGAACCTTCTTGAAACCATTCATTTATCAATATCATAAATTCTGTTTCGAATGTCATCAAGACTGTAATAGCTTTTTCATTTTCTGTTGAGCTCCAGTCATTGTTGTGTCATTGTTTTCAGCCTCAAAATGATAATGTTAGAATGATATGACGACTTCTTCACAAACCATATGATGGATTCTATCTAACTTAGGTTCTTGGATGCGTAACTGGACATCAATATCAACAGCGACATGTCTCATTGATTCCAATGCGGCTTCAACTTGAAAAACATTTTTTTCAATTTCTTCTTCAATCGAATTCAATGAGTTCTCATCATCTTCTCTGAAATTTCTTTCTCTCAGACGTTTCACAAGAATACGTTGAAAAATACTTTTTTTTTATTTTTCTTGAAGTGTTTCTCTGACTGTACGAATGCCGGAAACCGTTATCACTCAAACTGGAAATTAAAAAGTTTGTTTGATTGGTTTGATACAGAAACTAACGGCGTTCCCTTATAGCTGCTTGTGTCAGTATGACTTTCGCCAAACAGACAAGGCAAGTTAAATTTTTTTCGAAACCATCTTCAAATATGTAATCATTTCAATATCTTCTCAAGAAGTAATTCATACTCAATACTGGAATAGAATGGATAGCAAAGACAGCTTTGGTCAGTTTTCCTGATATCTCGTCGAACTCTTACCATATCAGTTGATATTTTGGACATTGTATTTTCTATATTATCAAGCTGCTCTAAAAAAAACAATGTTTACGAAGTTTGATAGTTGTTATCAACCATCTTGATCTTCTAGAGCAGCAAGTGTTTCCAATCCTCGTTCTTTGGCTTCCTCGCATAAAATAACAAGAGTATTCGATGTTTCCAATGACTAAACAATCAATAATATAATTATGACATCGCACTTCACCTCTTTGTTCAGCTTAGCAATTTCTTCATCATAGTTAACGATTCGTAAACGTTTTCCTCGCGATAAGGCGTTCAGTCCGTCAGTCAGAGAATTTCTTAAAATTGAATAAAATGCCCATTGAAACATAAATATTCGGAAAAAAAACCAATTGAGAGCAGAACCAACCGTTTGTCTCCAAGAGTTCCATCCATTGCTCAAAAATAGACAATCACACATTTCAGCGGCCATTTGGAGTGGGTATAGATAGCGTGCTTATCTCAAGATTTTATTTCATTCTCGTCATTAAATTCTATTGTTCTTATCATTGCGACTTAACCATTTTCTCAGTTCTCATTCATATTTCCAGTAAATTCCTTTATCAAACTCAAATAACTACTCAACAAAGGCTGTTTTCTTTCATAAATCTAATAATTTATTTTTTAAATGCCTTTTATAATTATAAATTTCTCAATTTTTCTAATTTTTCATATAAATTAAACTAAAATTAAATGAAACTAGAACTTCAGATCGCTATTGACATTCAGTGAAAGCAAGAGATCATCCAACGATACTTCTCTCAATTTTCGATAAACTACTTTTCATTCAAATCGACTCTTCTTCGATTCATCACTGACATTGTTTCTAAAATTACAATCGAAAATTTTTAAAAGTATTAATACATACGTGTCTTCCTCATCAGTCTTCCGTTTATAACCGGAATTTCCTTTTTCGAAAGGTGTTTCATTCATGGGATTAGAATCGTTCATTCCGAACATGTCATTGGTAACCACAAGGTTTGCGGACGTACTTCCGGATGCAAGACTACAAAATACAAAGGTTGCGCATTGCAAGTGTTGCGGTTGGCACTTACCCATTTCCTGGCTCCAAACGAACGGACACGATTGATCGTACCTGGAAAAGTTAGTTAACTGTTGCGTTAACACCAAGTTAAGTACCTGCTGATCCAAGGAACGCATTAGCGGAACCAGCTTTCGCTCACTCATTCTAGGAAGATCTTCAGGAGAATAGAGAGGCTCTCCTTGCATACTTTTAATGGCTTCTAGTAGATCGCGGTTCATTTCCTAGACGAAGGAGCTGGAGAAAAGCAGCCGCTACCTGTGGATGAGTAGCCGAAAACTGGGCAATCAATTCATAAGCTTATTCTGCTATCATAGGCGATTATATCAAAGTCTATTGTTGAATTCTTTCTAATTCTCTTGTCCCTGAAACCCATTTGTTCTATGTTCCTCCTCCTTTTTTGTTATATTTCCTGCAATATCCTGACATCCTTTTCATTAATCTTTTTATCTCTGCGTAAGTCTATACTCTCCATTTTTTGATATACAATATCAATAAGTGAATCCCTCATATAATCGAGAGAATACACTTTTGTTCTCTGTCTTCTCCTTTTTTACATAAGCTCTTCAGTCAATGCTCGCAGTCTAGCTTCCTCAATGTTCATGATAAACCACGCAACCTTTAAAGGATTATCGCTCTTGTCAGCTATTGTTCATGACGGAAAAAATGTGCAACAAACAAATTATTTTCAGCAATCCAACCTTACCTATAGAATGTGATATAGTTCTACTCATTGCATTTCTCGGTGATGACGAAGAGGAAGATTATGTAAAAGTAATTTTTGAAATTGATTTGAAAGGATTAATTAAGGCGGACTATCATAATACTCTGAAAGTTTATCGGAAAAGAACAAATTCGAAGGCTTCGTACCTGTGTATGTCTATACAAGGATTTCTTTTTCCTCGAATACTTAGCTCACTACAGTAAAGAAGACAGATATGGAAGCCGAAAAAAAAACTAATCATATGCAATCATGCACACCTACCCATTTTACTACCCATCCAAACTAAATCCAGTAAACAAGCTAAGATTATCACTCATCGCCAATAATCCAAGAAGTTTAATAATTACATTTTATTTGAGTGCGTGTTAAAATATAAGAAACATTCAAAAAAGGGTGTTGAAAACGGTTATTCATCGTCGGCAGCGTTGCACTTGATATCAGTGAACTTAACTCCGTTGGCAACCCATTTTCTGAAATGATATATGAATGCGATATTGATTTATATCAACAAACCCCTTTCTTGAGCAAGTGGCAACAACTTCGACTGGGTTTGCTCCATTGGCAGTAACGATTGGAGTATCGTTTCCAGACACGAGAGCAGTAGTATCGTCTCCACATACAATCTTCACAGTCTTGTCTCCCTTGCTGTATCTGAAAACGTTTTGA